TATAAATGTATTAATTAGTATCAATGATCATAGGACACGAAATTATACGATAAACTTACGCCCTGTCCACTGAATCATGATTGATTCCGATTATTTCAAAGACCTTTTGTCGTTCAACAGGAATTTAATTAGCAAAAAAAAAAAAAAAAAAAAAGAACAAAAAATTGTAAAGATAATATTATTAGAAAATTACATTTTTTTCAGAATGATATTGAATTTTGAGTTGATTTTTTCCCTAATCAGTTTTTTTAAACAAGTAAATTTTCTCAAAGATTATATAAATATAATGATCATTACTTTGATATTGCTAATATTTCTTCAATTTGATACTCGGTCCACTCCCAGACAGTATGAAACGTGCATAAAACTTTTTTTATTTTTTCCAAATAAAAGGAGTCAAAAATAAATCTGAAAATAAGATTCATAAAAATATTTTATAATATTTTATTTTTACCTTGAGAAAGCATGACTTATTTATTTTTTTAGTATATATACGAATAAAAAAATAATATATTTATATATTTATATAATAGATGTGAAAATATTTGTTTTTTTTCTTTTCTTTAAAAAGATTTTTTTTGATGGTGACACGGTTTTTGAAAGGTGAGAGAGTATATATTTTTATTTTTTTGTTGCAAGAAATACATAATAATAATAATATCAAAAAAATAATAATTGATCCATCTCCAAAAATAATCAAAATAACATAACATAATAATATTATTATCAACGTAGCACAATTCGAAGACCAACCCAATAGAAATTAATTCATCAACAATAGTTGCACATGACCAAACAGTATTTAATGTCCATAATGATTTGATTTCAACTTTAGTGTATGTTTAATAGGTTTGCAAACAAACATACATACATTTGTCCCAGCCAGACACAGGACTAGCAAAGATTTGGAAAAAATGTAACACATGAAACCAAGCGTTAATGTCGAAACAATTATCAGGCGAGAAAGATATCATAATAATAATTGATAAGTAGTTTGTCCAACATTTAATCCTATAAACGAAGAATTTCAATCCTGAGGCAGAAAGTGGAGAGATACCTTTCTTTGACTGATAACGATGTGGTGAATCATATTCCCTCCTCATCAAAACTAGTATCGATGACAATAATAACCAAAACAATAATAATCAAACATCCAATAAACAAAATGAAATTAAATAAAATGTCAATCGGTCCACGACGCTTTACCGACACCCATTCCACTGACAGTACACTTTACCGACAAGCATTGTGTTAACAATTTGCCAAGGACTGTGTGAAGACCTGGATAATTCTATGTAGAAGCTTTTTTTTTTTTTACAGCCGCGTGAAACCAACTCTTGATCGAC